CGGAAGGTGGCGCTCTCCCTCGCTGCACAGACAGTGAGTCTCTGAGTGGGGTGAGGTGAGGTGAGGTGAGGTGAATGCGGTGCGGTGCGGTGCGGTGCGGTGCGGTGCGGTGCGGTGCGGTGCGGTGGCTCTCTCACCTTCTCCCCACTGCAGCGGCAGCGGCCCAGCATATGTGTTTGTGGCGATAGAGGCGCTAGCTGATGGTGGCACGGCAGCAGGGCTTCCTCGAAAGGTGGCGCTCTCCCTCGCTGCACAGACAGTGAGTCTCTGAGTGGGGTGAGGTGAGGTGAGGTGAGGTGAGGTGAGGTGAGGTGAGGTGAGGTGAGGTGAGGTGAGGTGAGGTGAGGTGAGGTGAGGTGAGGTGAGGTGAGGTGAGGTGAGGTGAGGTGAGGTGAGGTGAGGTGAGGTGAGGTGAGGTGAGGTGAGATGGTGGATGGGAGACCAGGAGTGGGATTACTTGCAATGGAGCAGCGACGATGGATGGATTTCACTATCAAAAGTTATCAGACGATGCAGAATGTACTTTTGAGTCGACTATAACTTTCACCATCAAGGTTATCAGATGATGCAGAGTGTAGATTTCAATTTCAAGGAAGCTAATAAAGGCTGCTTATTCATTGTTGGCGTATTTTCCCTCTCAACCATAGGTGTATGGAGCAGCCAAGATGGTGATAGACACACAGAAGCACCCGGGCCTACTGAAGGACTCTGTCGCCTCACCAGCAGGTATGGCCACGTTGTTGCATGGCTCTTTTTTTTCCTTTTTCGTTTTCTCTTCTGTGGTCACCAGAGCCTTTGTTTTTTTGTTGCATGGCCAGAGGTGTTCTCTTGAGAAAATTGTTGAAAAGTCACCAGCTGGTGTGCTCACTGCTGCTACTCTGCTGCATACCCTTCTTCTACACGTCGCAGTTTCCTCAGCCGACTCTTTTGCTCTCTGCCACACCCCCTTGACTGCCATAAACACACACACACACACCCACACCAAACAGCGCACTGTTGCTGGGCTGGATGAGCTCGAAAAGAAACAGCTTGTGAATTGTCTTTTGTGTCGACTCCAAAGTCAGAAGTCAACTCTTCTAGTCGACTCAAAGGTCAGAAGTCAACTTTTTGAGGCGACTCAAAACACAGAAGTCAACTTTTTTAGGCGACTCAAAAATCACACACTAAACAGCGCACCGTTGCTGGGCTGAATGAGCTCGAATAAAAATGGGTTCTGAGTTGACTTTTGAGTCGACTCCCCTGCCTCCCCGTTTTCGCCATTTGATGACCAAGCAGGAACCACCATTGCTGGCTTGCACGAGCTGGAGAAGGGCGGGTTCCGATCGCTGCTCGTGAATGCCGTGGACTTTTGAGGCGCCTAAAAAATGGTGGCAGCTGCCAGCCGCATAAGTGCACTCACTCTGTGCCCACTCGCCCCTCCCCACCCCGCGCCCTGCCTCTTCCCCCTTGACCACCATGCAGGCACCACCATTGCTGGCTTGCACGAGCTGGAGAAGGGCGGGTTCCGATCCCTGCTCATGAATGCCGTGGTTGCAGCTGCCAACCGCAGCAAAGAGCTGTCCAAGTGAAGGCCAGACTCAGGAGTCGTGACAGGGGAGCGTTGGGCATTGACTTGTAGCAGTCTCGCCAGGCTTCCCTTCACCCCCCTCAGCATGTTTAGTAAAAATGCTCTCCCCTTTATGCTGTCCAGACCATTGTGGGGTGGAGGAGAGACGGGGATGGATGCTGAGATAAGATACTTATGGTATAGGGGAACTTCGTGTTCCCGTTATGGTACCTCTCTCGAGGTGAGCGTACTAACTGCACGTGGCTAGTTATTGTCATGTATCAATTACCTTTCTAAAGAGAAACCATGCAGTTTGTCGGCCCCATCCCAGGTCTTCCACAGCTGCTGGTGATCCTTCACCGCACTGCACTGCACTGCACCATCATTAAATGACTCAATAAATGACAAGAATGACATATGCAGTCAGGATCTTTATCCTATCGAGACCACCTCTTAGCCCAACTTATCCTACCCTACCTCTGCTCCTACCATCATCTTCCCTACAGGGCTAAGACAGCCTTCAAATTGCTGAAGGCTGTGACCCATCTTGCCCCTACACCACCTAGCACTTATTCTGTTGCTCCTCCTCGTAGAGCAGCAGGCTTCGCTGTTATCTAGTCTTGGTTGGTTGGGTTCAGGTGGATCATAGTCTGGAGAAGGACTCTCGAACGCTGCTCACACACGAGCTGGCAGCAGCGAGGAACTGCTGCGCAGTCGCAGTAGCAGCAGCGGTGGCAGCAGCCGTGGCAGATGCAGGCGCTCCTCCCACCCCGCAGCACCCACCCTCCGAGCCAGCCTTGGCCCGAGCCTCCTCTTTAGCCTCGTCACCGCACAGAACATCAATAACACAGTCCTTGGCAATTTCTCCCAGCTTTTCCTCCACTCCTTTCTTCACCGTAAGCGGCCGGTGCTTAGCTAAAAGCCACTCCATCTCCTTCTCATCAATATGAGTAAACAACCCGTCTGCGGGGAAAACACTTCTCGTAAACGCCGTAACCAGCCGCTCATTAAACTTATGATGCAGATACACCACCGGAAGATCGTTCGGGTCGAACCGGAACGGCTCCTCGATCTCTCTCGCGACCTCGTTGAGAAGATAATAGGAGAAGACGGAGAGGAGGGTGATGGCTGAGGCTAGGAAGGGATCTGCTAGCCAGTCGGCCATGAGGAGCGGGATGATGAGGGCGTTGATGTGGAGGAGGAGAGCAACGCACTGCGCGAAGGGGAAGGGGAAGGGCGTGTTCACTATCTTGAGCGCATTCTCGTACCCGAGCATGCCGTCTGGTGAGAGGCGGGGGGAAAGAGGGGAAGGAGGGAGGAAGGGTTGGGAGAAGTTGAGGTAAGGACGGGGATGTGGCGAGAAATGACGCATGCTTCTGCAGCTCTGGAGAGTTTAGTAGCGTCCTACTAAAGATCCAAGAACTTAGATTAAAAAAGCAACAAAAAAGTTGTTGTCGGTTTTTAGTTTTTAGTGTTTTTTGTTTCCTTCCTTCTTCCGTTTGGAGGGGAGAGAGGGCACCTAACAAACATCCACGCCCTCACCTGACAACACTTGGTATATTCTGGACACAATGGGGGCGTCTTGGGAAATGCCCCCCGCCATGCGCCGAGCCACAAGCGCCCGGTGCAGCCAGCACATCACCAGGTACACGCGGTCGCGGGAAGGTTCCAGGATGCTGCACTCTGTAGGGTTCACCCCCCCCAGCACTGCCAGCGGCAGCGCCCGCCAGTACTTCTCCAGGTGGGGGCGGTGGGCGCGCAGGAACACCAGGGACCTGTGATTGGGTCGGAGTAGGCACAGTGGGGGGAGGCATGAGTGGGGGGGGGGGATGGATCGGAGGAGGCGCGGGTGGGGGGAGGCATGGGTGGGGGAAGGGATGGGTGGGGGGATGGATGGGTTGGTGGAGGCATGGGTGAGGGGAAGGATGGGAGGTTAGGAGAGCACCGTAGGACCAATGTCATCCAGCCAAATCAACCCAATCCAACCCAACCGAACCGAACCAGACCGAAGCCATCATGACGCTCACTTGTTTCCGCGCACTTGGTTCCACTCCTCCACCTGATCCGCGTCCACTGGTGGCTCTGGTGGGATGTCCATGAATCGACCTGCATGGGCGAGAGAGGCGGAGAGGGGGAGCGGCAGGGAGGGAGAGAGAGGAGAGAGAGGCAGAGAGATAATAAAATTTGGGAGGCGCTCTACAAATCCGATAAAGAATGGGGAATTCGGAGCAGGAGATTTGAAACGCCTAGATTTTTGGAGGCAAGGAGGCATGGCAAAGATGTGGAGCAAAGGGATAAGGTACGCACGCAAGGATGGAATCACGCAGGGAATGGAAGCACGCAGGGAATGGAATCACGCACCATAAGTGAGGTTTCTCAGATACGAGTCTCCTCTTAATCTCTGCTCGCACAGACGTCCATCAGGGCGATGGGCAGCGGTGGGAAGGGATGGGATGGGATAGGGTGGGATGGGGCGTAGGGGGGGAAGAAAAAGTTCACTGGCACGAGATAGGTGGTGAGGGACAGAACAGGAAGGATCGCAGTGAGCATTCACATAGCCTGCAGGTAAGCAGCATGCTATGCGAGAGATGGTGAGCATTCACATAGCATGCTGCTTACCTGCAGTGAGAGTGCATGCATGCATTATGGAGGTGAAACTAAAAAAGGCGTGTGCATGCCTTTTGAGTCTCATGGCGGCGAAATTGAAAAAGGCGTGAGTCAGTACCTGCAACGCGAGCGCGTGCATGAGGCTTATGGTGTGCACAATCTCATAAGGCGTTAGTGTAATGCCTGCGCGGGTACGGACAATGCCTACCTGCAGCGCGAGCGCGTGCATGAGGCTCATGGTGTGCACAAACTCGGAGCGGAATCGAATCCCCCCTGGCACCGGCTCCTTGGCTCCCTCGTCGAACGATATCACCTGCAGAGAGGGCGAAGGTGGGGGAGGAGGGTAGGGGACGCGTGCGGTCTGTGAACCTGTGGTCTCAGCATGGGTAGGGGACGCGTGCGGTACGTGCGAGCAGGGGTGAGAGTGTGACAACATTGGGGGCAGAACGCGAGCTTAAATGCTCAAAGGGCTGAAATAGGTGGGAGAGAGAACCAAAAAACAAGAACAATAGCAATAATAAAAAACCAACCACATTGCGGATGGCAAACAGCGGTGGCTCACCTGGATCGCGGCGTCTCCCCATTTTGAACTGCAGAGCATGAGAGATTAGGGAGAGGGAGGGGAAGAGGGAGAGGGAGAGGGAGAGGGAGAGGGAGAGGGAGAGGGATTGTTGAGTCGGAACCACAATTCCAGCTGCACAGCTCCCCATTTCGAGCTTCACAGCGCAGAGACAGGGGGGGCCGACGGAATGGTGAAACGGAAGCCTTTGAAAACCAAATGAAACGGAAGCATATGGCAGTGGCACGACAGGGAAGGGTAGCGGGATGGACGAGACAGCGGACGGACCTCATTTGCGCGATCATAGTTCTCCCTTCCCAGTATCTCTGTCCACCTCAAGGGGTAAAAAAAAAAAAAAAACAGAAAGAAAGAAAGGAAGAAAAGAATGCGAGTTAGGCGCACAAGAAACTCACGCCGGAACAAGCAGTGCGAGCACGCGAGGGAGCGGAAGCTGGCTTCTGCTTACGAGCTTGTCAAAATCACCAGCCGCCGTAAGTAAGGAGAAAGCTTCGCGCAAGCGGGCTTACCGCGTAGCTGAGATTGGTGCGGAAAATGAGGATGAAGGCGAGAACGCCGCTGAATACGGCATCTGCGAAGGAAAACAGGGGTCGCACGAGGGAGGAGGCACGAGGGACGAGGGCACGAGAGTCGGAAAGGAGTGAAGATAAAGGCCGCTGCCAAACCCCAGCTTCTGGGACAGTAGGAGTAAAAAATGCATGAATTTAGCGGCGACTTTGGGTGCGTGATGATTTTGTCGGGGAAGGAGGGAAGGAGGGTGTGAGGAGAATTCTCCAGTTCAATCGTAGAATTCTTCAAGGAGAGGGTGTCAGGGAAGGAGGGAGAAGAGCGAGTGAGGCTTACAGGGGTATGGGTGGAGGAAGAGGTGCTGGGTTCTATCGACGAGTATGAATGCGGAAAAAAGTCCCGCGAGAATGGCGCTAGGCAGGGCGAGAAGCACCGCTCTCGGCCATTGCGAGCCGTAGAATCTCAACAGGAGATTCAACGCTCCGAATCTCTTCTCGTAGCTTATCATCGCAAGTGACGAAATGGGCCTAGTGCAAGCGGTAACATATATCTAGCGGCAGATACCACTAAACAAAACGCAACGAATACTGTACGACCTGTCTTACGGCCTCATTGCATTATGGGGCAGCTCGTTACCTACTATCACTGCTACTGCTGAGCTGTTCTTCGGAATGATCGGTTTGGTTGGTCTGATAGGTTTTAAATCGGGTTGATAACGGTTGGTGGAGGGCAGGCCTTGGGATTGGGGTTGATCCCGTGCGAAGCGCGTCCCTTGTGCTTTGTTTCGGTCAGTCTAGTTTTGTTCCTCTGCTTCCATGCCAGCCCTGTTCGACGGGCATTGCCAAAAGTTTAGACGCGTTACTGTACAAGGGCCAACCTCGAGGGGCTTCACCAATCCCTGGCGCTTGTTGATTTTGAAGCTGCTTGAATGGGGCGAAACTAAAGACGCAACACCAATAGCACCTGGAAGCGTCGCGTGGCTGACGTGGATGATTGGGCAAATGTAAAGCTCTTGGATGAGTGTGGCGGGCTGCTGTATCATCCCTGAGATCGGAACAAAAAATTCCTTCGAGCTAGTTGCTCCTTGTGGGAGTGACAAAATTCATCTTGTGAAGTGAAATGGACGTCCGTTTGACACCCCATGCACAAAGCTCAAAAACTTGTGCGCTCTTGCTGCAGCAGGAAAGTGAGAACCACACCAGCGATGGACCAAAGGGCCAGTTACTGGCTCATACACATTCCATTAAAAGGGACCTAACAAATGAGAATAATTACCTAGATGGTCATTGTTCCATCCATCCTTCTGACCTAGCTATCCTACTTGGCTATGCTTCTACCTTCCTAGCTTCCACCGGCTCTCCTCAAGGACCCAAACTAAACAGCCTTGTATTGCTGAAGGCTGTGCGCTGCTAGATCAGCTACCACATATCTCTGCTGCCCCTGCCGATCCCCAAACTGTGTGTTAGCAGCAGGAGGAGCTTCTACAGGCCTTCTTTTCAATTAGCTCTGTTCACTTTGCTGGCTTTGGAAGAAAGACCTTAGTAGCGCAGCAGGGGGAGCCCCTAAAGGTCCTCGTTGGTTCAGGTGGACCGTAGTCTGGGGAAAGTATCTCGAACACTGCTCACACATGAGCTGGCAGCAGCGAGGAGCTGCTGCGCAGCCACAGATGCAGCAGCACTTGCAGCTGCAGGCGCTCCTCCCACCCCGCAGCACCCGCCTTCCGAGCCAACCTCGGCCCGAGCCTTCTCTCCAGGCTTGTCGCCGCACAGCACATCGATAACACAGTCCTTGGCAATCTTTCCCACCTTCTCCTCCGCTCCCTTTGTCACTGTCACTGGCCGGTGCTTAGCTAAAAGCCACGCCATTTCCTTCTCATCAATATGCGTAAACAGCCCGTCCGCAGGGAAAACGCTTCTTGAAAACGCCGTGACAAGCCGCTCGTTGAACTTATGGTGGAGGTACACCACGGGAAGATCGTTCGGGTCGAACCGGAAAGGCTCTTCAATTTCTCTCGCCACTTCGTTGAGAAGATAGAAGGAGAAGACTGAGAGGAAGGTGATTGCAGAGGCTAGGTAGGGATCTGCTAGCCAGTCAGCCATGAGGAGCGGGATGATGAGGGCGTTGATGTGGAGGAGGAGAGCAACGCACTGCGCGAAGGGGAAGGGGAAGGGCGTGTTCACTATCTTGAGCGCATTCTCGTACCCCAGCATGCCGTCTGGTGAGAGGCGGGGGGAAAGAGGGGAAGGAGGGAGGAAGGGTTGGGAAGGATAAGAGGTAAGGATGAGGGGGTGGCGAGAAAAAACAACAGGCGCGTCCTACCAGGTATCCTACCAGGTATCCGACCAGGCATTTTGGGCTAAGATAAGAACACAGTCACGCCCTCACCTGAGAGCACTTGGTATATTCTGGACACGATAGGGGCGTCCTGAGAGATCCCCCCCGCCATGCGCCGAGCCACGAGCGCCCGGTGCAGCCAGCACATCACCAGGTACACGCGGTCGCGGGAAGGTTCCAGGATGCTGCACTCCGTGGGGTTCACCCCCCCCAGCACTGCCAGCGGCAGCGCCCGCCAGTACTTCTCCAGGTGGGGGCGGTGGGCTCTTAGGAACACTAGGGACCTGCGATTGGCAGGAAGCATGGGTGGGAGAAGGGATGGGAGCTTAGGATCACACCCTATGTTCCTCATCCCAACCCAACCGAACCCAACCGAAACCAGCACAGCACTCACTTGTTTCCGCGCACTCGGTTCCACTCCTCCACCTCATCCGCGTCCACTGGTGGCTCTGGTGGGATGTCCATGAATCGACCTGCATGGGCAAGAGAGGCGGAGAGGGCGAGAGAGGCGGAGAGGGAGAGGAGCAGAGAGAAAGAGGCGGAGAGGCAATCAGATCATGAACAGACAGAGGCAAGGCAAGGAACCGGAGCAACGAGACAAGGCAGAGAGGCAAGGGGCGGAGACGTGGAACAACGGAAAAAGGCAGGGAGTTCGGAGCACACACCATAAGTTAAGTTGCTAAGGTACGAGTCCCCTCGTAGTCTCTGCTCCACACAGACGTCAATCAGGGGGATGGGAAGGGGTGGAGTGGGATGGGATACGGTGGGATGAGACAGTGGAATTCGCAAAGACAAGAGCGCGGAAAAAGAACAGAGCGCAGAAGCATTTCAGCGAGGAAGGACTTAGCATGGGCAGGACATTCAAGTGTGAGTAATCGACAAGGCAATACCTGCAGCGCGAGCGCGTGCATGAGGCTCATGGTGTGCGCAAAAGGGACGCGCTGCTCACTTATAGAGCCAGTGCCAGTGCGTGTACACACAAGGCGTACCTGCAGCGCGAGCGCGTGCATGAGGCTCATGGTGTGCACAAACTCGGAGCGGAATCGAATCCCCCCTGGCACCGGCTCCTTGGCTCCCTCGTCAAACGATATCACCTGCGCAGGTGAAAAGGACAGACGGAAGGAGTGGAGAAGGAGATGAGACCGGATGCACGGGTACAAGCCAATGCGGGAGGCAGTTAGGCGAATGGGTAAATCAATGTGAACATGCGGCGTGAACGAGCACCGGCGTGGCATGTGTGGGCTGGGTGCGAGCAGGCGTGGGCGCACAACGAACGAAGCTGATTGGCTGAATGGCGAAATGGCCGAAGAGGGGGAGAGAGAGGATAGAAAATTGAAAAGCGACTGCGGTTTGCAGCAGCGATGGCTCACCTGGATTGCGGCGTCTCCCCATTTCGAGCTGCGCAGCAAGAGAGAGAGGGAAAGGGAAAGAGAGGAGAGGGAGTGGGTGAGTTGAAACGAAAGCGGAAAAAGGAGGATCGTGAAAAAAAAGAAGAAATGGGACGGAAGATGAAACGGGGTGAAGGTTATGGTAGTGGCGCGGCAGGGAAGGATTGCGGGAAGAACGAGACGACGGACGGACCTCATTTGTGCGAGCATTGTTCTCCCCTCCCAGTATCTCTGTCACACCAACACACAACACAGACAGAAAAATACAATGCGCTCATGAGGACGAATTGGAGTTAAGCTGGAACGAAAACAGCGAGTCAGCGCGGTGCGAAAAGCCAAGGACTGCTTTCGAGAATTCCCACCAAACAGCGGCTGTGAGAAATCCGAATCGATTTTTTTAATCCTCATTCAGTCATTTAATCATATTCCGCAAAAAAAATGTCAGACTGTTCGTCGCGTCAATTCGGGGAGCGGTCTCATCCCGTCGTCAAGCTCCGGTCGAGCGGGCTTACCGCGTAGCTGAGATTGGTGCGGAAGATGAGGATGAAGGCGACGACGCCGCTGAATACGGCATCTGCGGTAGAACATCCGGGACGCACGCACGAGGGACGAAGACATGAAAGATGAGGCACGAGGGACGAGGGGCGAGGGACGAGGGACGAGGGTCGAGGGTCGAGGGACGAGGGACGAGGGTCGAGGGTCGAGGGTCGAGGGACGAGGGACGCAAGGGGGAGGAAAATTCAGGCCAGTGGAATGACATCCGCAGCTTATGGGGAACAGCCGGAGTGGAAAACGAATGGCATCAGCAAAGAGGCGAATTTGAGTGGTCATGAGGTACGCAGAATGAGATTGTTGAGAACCTTCAACTAATTCTCAGAATTTTAGAGCGGACGGTGTGAGGGAAGGAGAGGGGGGGAGGGGATCGAGGCTCACAGGGGTATGGGTGGAGGAAGAGGTGCTGCGTTTTATCGACGAATATGAACGCGGAGAGCAGTCCGGCTAGGATTGCGCTGGGGAGGGCGAGCAGCGTCGCTCGCGGCCATTGCGAGCCGTAGAATCTCAGTAATAGATTAAACGCTCCGAATCTCTTCTCGTATTGTATCATGGCTGCGCGCCAGTAGAAGCCTAGTGAAAGAGTTGAATGCGAATGAACAGAAGGCTACTGCGGAGCAGAAATCAGGCAGATGACTAAACGTCGAAACAAGGCTAGCAGCGGAATCAGGAGTTCATCTCCTAATAAATAGATATTTTGTCAGCACAGGTGGTTCTGGATGCTGCTCGGCAATCCCTAGAAATTGGTTCATTGGTTGGTTGGCGGTTTGGTTGGTGGGTGTTGCTTCACCCTGCGCGTTGGAGGTCCGGGCAGCAATCGGGCTAAAAACTGGTGGTGGTCTGGTTTGGTCAGTTGTGGTCTCCCCTAGCCAGTCAGTTGGCTGACTGCCCGATCTCTTATGAGTTTGGCCCTGCCGCGTTTCCAGGCCACCTTCAACATGGATGCATCCACCTGCCGCTCAACGACGGGCATCGCAAAAGTCCTAAACATGAGGGGGCCTGGCTGTCGATTTGCTGACGGGCAGGGCTCAGAAATTGACAAGCACTGGTGCGACGGGCTGATGTGATGTGATTATGCTTTGATCTGCCCGTGTCGAAGGAAGCCTTCGTCAGAGCATGGCATGGCAAGCTTGGATGGAAGCGCGTCGCGCGCGCCTGCGTGGTGGCGGCTGACGTACATTTTCGGCGCAGATTTCTGCAGCTGTGTGGAAGAGTGTGGCGGAGAACCATCAACCCGTTGGGGCCGAGCCGGAAATTCGGGGTGACGTGGGGCTGACACGAGGGCGGGACGCACTGGAACCGAGGAGTCGCCGATCTCCAATTGCAGAGGAAATTCACTCGCTTGATGCAGCGAAATTGTTGGATGGTTTGGATCTCAAGGGGAACTTGCACTGTACAAGGTCCAGCTCACTGTCCAGCCCTTGAAAGCCTGGAAGGTTCTTCCGCCGAATAACGTCGCTCGGCCAGTCGTTCAAAACCGGAATGTCGCACGCGATGAGGTGCTCCCGCTGCTGCGACGAAGGTTGCTGCCAGCTGATCGATTTTCCGCGTCCCATTTTTCTGACCCCATTGGCTCGCGATCGCCATCTCTGTCGGCAAGGTTGTCGCGGGTGGATAGAACCAGATGGTTCGTTTAGGGATGTCTCGCGTTTACGCATGCAAACCTAATTCACTATCGTAGTTTTACCATACCGTAACAGACGTGCACACACGCTGGTCAACAAGCAACTGCTACAAACGGAATCACCATACCAAACAAAAACGTTTTTTGTTATTGACTATTATCTTCTTGTGTTATTCAACATTTTTTTGGAGTGTCTTGGGAGGTCGAAAAAAAAAAAAAAAAAATCGGATAGAGCCACAGTGAAAACTGGTTACTGAAATGGAATGATAGACTCATCCGAAGCCCCGGTTGAACGTACATGAACCCAACATTTGCAAATACCAGTAGCACCAAATACCAATCCCCAACAGAAAATCTTGAGCCCAATATGGGCTCCTCACACAGCGCCTCCTCCAGCACCATCTGACGGAGCAGATTGAGACCCACCTGCCACTCCAAGTCAACATGGAGGCAATATTAAAAAGCAGGCACAGCACAGTCAGCAAGAAAGCACATCGCCAACCATAGAACACAGCCTTGAGGACATAAGAACACCTACCAGAACTTCCAAACCTAAAAGAACCGCAACACAAGTAAGCGAAGAAAACAAAAACAGGAAACTACAGGGGAGTAGTGGTACGCATATTACCTGCAGCCCCCCTGCCCCGGCCACGGCCGCGCGGGCTGCCCGTTCCCCGTCCAGCTGACTGCACGAGGCTGATCACCCGCGTGCCCCGGCCCTGCACAAGGGGTGCATGTACAGTGCGTGCCAATGAATGCGGGGATATGGAGAGTGGCAGGGTGATGGGACAAGGGGATGCCATGCCACAAATGTTTGTGTGTGTATGTGTGCGTGCGGGCACGCGCGCGCGCGTGCGTGCGTGCGTGCGTGCGTGCGTGCGTGCGTGCGTGCGTGCGTGCGTGCGTGCGTGCGTGCGTGCGTGCGTGCGTGCGTGCGTGCGTGCGTGCATGCGTGCGTGCGTGCGTGCGTGCGTGTGTGTGTGTGTGCACACAAAAGGTTTTTCCGAATTCAAAGAGCACAGAGTGACACACGCACCATCAAAACACAGCAGAGCTGCTCCTAAAGAAACAGGCTCCATTCAGACACACACAAAACCACCATCACATAGACAACTTTTGAGACGTCTCAAAACAGGCTCCATTCAGACACACACACACCAACTATCACATAGACGACTTTTGAGACGTCTCAAAACAGGCTCCATTCAGACACACACAAAACCACCATCACATAGGTCACATGTCACTCAGCCGTGCACCTCGGCCGCAGCGAGGGGAAGTGGCAGCCCCAAATCGGGCCTGCCTGGATGCAACACGCTGAGCCGCCTCCCCCCCTTCCCCTGCACCACCTGCACCAACTGAGTACTATCAGAACTCACTCACCCTTGTGCCTCAACAAGTCCACACACACGGCTCACATGTCACTCACCCTCGTGCCTCAACAAGTCCACACACACGGCTCACATGTCACTCACCCTCGTGCCTCAACAAGTCCACACACACGGCTCACATGTCACTCACCCTCGTGCCTCAACAAGTCCACACACACGGCTCACATGTCACTCACCCTCGTGCCTCAACAAGTCCACACACACGGCTCACATGTCACTCACCCTCGTGCCTCAACAAGTCCACACACACGGCTCACATGTCACTCACCCTCGTGCCTCAACAAGTCCACACACACGGTTCACATGTCACTCACCCTCGTGCCTCAACAAGTCCACACACACGGCTCACATGTCACTCACCCTCGTGCCTCAACAAGTCCACACACACGGCTCACATCTCACTCACCCTCGTGCCTCAACAAGTCCACACACACGGCTCACATCTCACTCACCCTCGTGCCTCAACAAGTCCACACACACGGCTCACATGTCACTCACCCTCGTGCCCCAACAAGTCCACACACACGGCTCACATCTCACTCACCCGTGCACCTCGGCCGCGGCGGGGAGAAGTGGCAGCCCCAAATCGTGCCTGCCTGGCAGCAGCCCGCTGAGCCGCCTCCCCTTCCCCTGCACCGCCCCCCTCTCCCACCTCCCCACGCCCTCCCCCTCGCCCTGCTGTTGCTGCCGCCACTGCTGCCGCCCTGCCTCTCAGCCCTGCTGTGGACCTCCGGGGTCGGGAAGCCATTCCTGCTGCTGCCGTCTCTGCTGTGCCTGTTCCCGCTGCGGCTGCTCCTGCTGTGCCTTCCCCTGTACCTGGCTGCTGTGTTGCTGCTCCCTCCACTGCCGCTGTTCCACCAGCAGTACTAGTAGTACCGGCAGCACCGGAAGCATCGGCAGCACCGGCAGCACCGGAAGCATCAGCAGCACCAGCAGTAGCATCAGCAGTGGCAGTTTCAGCAGGTGTAGCAGGGGCAGCAGGCACCGCAGCAGAGGCATCCCCAGGTGTCCCTTCAGGTGCTGCAGCAGGTGTGCCTTCAGGTGCTGGCACCCCTCCACCTGCCTCTGCTGCTGCTCCCCCAGTCGCTCCTGCAGCAGCAGTGCCCGATTCCCCAAGTCCACCCTCTTCCTGCTGCTGCAGCTCCTCCCCTGCTTTACCCTCCCCCTCCCCCTCCCCCCCGCCCTCCACTTCCATACCCCCCTCTTCCCCCACATCCGCCATCGCATGCTCATCTCCCCCTCCCCCTTCCCCTCCCCCCTCCCCTCCCCCTTCCCCTCCCCCCTCCCCTCCCCCTTCCCCTCCCGCATCCCCTTCCCCCTCCCCCTCAAGCATACCCCCTTCCCCTTCATACTCCTCATGCCCGCCCTCCTCCCCCTCTCCGTCCGTCCCCTCCCCCATGGCCTCATCTCCCTCCTCCCCCTCCCCCATAACATGCTCCCCCCCATCCTCTGCCTCCCCCAAACCCTCCACGTGAATCTCTGGACCCTCTGCTACCGCCCCTGCCCCTGCCCCTGCCCCTGCCCCCCCGCCCGCCTCTTCTCCTGCACCTGCCTCTGCTGCCCCACCTGTATTCCCTGCGCCCATCCCTTCGCCTTCCCCTTCCGCGTCTGCCCCTGTGCTATCACCACCTGCTGCCTCCCCTGTCGCCCCTTCTCCGTTTGGCCCTTCCCCAGCCACGAGAGCAGCAGATTCACCTGCTCCTGTGGGGGTAAGTGGAGGGGTGGGGGTGGGTGAGCGGGGAGGCGTGGCGGGAACAGCAGCAGCATTGGCAGCAGCAGCATCAACACCAGCACCACCTATTTCACCTTCCCCTCCTGCTCCTTCCCCTTCTCCTACTGCTGCTTCTTCCTGCCTCTGCCCCTCAGTTCCCACCCCTGCGCCCTCCTCCCCCTCAACACCTGCGCCCTGCTCTCCCTGCTTCTCCTTCTCCTCTACCCCCTCTCCTGCCGCTCCGTCACCTGCCACGCCCGCTAACCCCACTTGACCGCTTCGCACCGCTTCACTCACCCCTGCGCCCCCCTGCTCCCCATCCTCAACCTCCATCCCACCGGCAGCAGGTGCGGCCTGAACCTCGCCTGCAGGTTCGGCAGGCACTGGGGCAACGATGGCTGGGACTGCAGGCTTTGAAACGGCAGCAGGAGCTGTGGGGGCAACAGCAGCTGGAGGAGCAGCAGCAGCAGCAGAATCTGCTCCTGGTGTTGCAGCTGCTGCCGAGGCACCGGTTACAGCTGGCCCTGCCTGTGCCACAGACGCACTCCCTCCACTTGCTGCTCCTCCTACCGAGCCTGCTCCCCCTGCAGCGCCCCCGAACGAGGGACGCATGATTCGCCTGTGCTTCACTGCGCGCCCTCCCCGCCCTGCCCCTGCCCTGCCTCCCCCTCGCCCTGCAGCACCAGCAGCGGAACCCACTGCTCCTTCTCCCCCATCCCCCCCATCGTCACCTTCCTCCCCGCCCTCTCCCTCTCCCTCTGCCTCCACAGCTGTGGGAGTTGCAGCGGTAAGAGCAACAGGAGCGATCGCAGCAGCAGGAATAACAGCAGGAGCAGCAGCTGTTTCTGTTGCCGGCTCAGCTGCTGCAGCAGCAGGCACACCAGTACCAGCAGCAGCAGGGGCAGCAGCAGGAGCAGCGGCAGCAGCGGTGGAAGCAGGGCCAGCGGCTTTAGCGCGAGCCAGCGACTGCATGAGCATGGCTCGGAGCTTGCTGGGGTCACTGGCAAAACGAGGGGCAGCAGAGGTAGCAGCGGTACCAGCAGAAGCACGGAGAGGAGAAGTGGGCGGAACAGCAGCAGCAGCACTCGGCGCACCAGTGGCAGCAGCAGCGGTGGCAGGAGCAGTAGCAGTGGTAGGAGCAGCAGAAGTGACAGGGGTGGTGTCCAGAGGCCTAGCTTTCTTCTCAGCCAGACCCTTCACCTCGCCTTCCTCCATGCCCTCCTCTTTCATCACACCCTCCTCCTCCCTCTTCCTCTTGCCCTTCTCCTCTGCCCCACTCACCCCACCAGCTGCCCCCTCCACCTCCATTGCTGCTGCAACCTTGACCTCAGAAACACCTGGGGTGGCCACAGGAACGCCCGCGTCACCAGCGGCAGCAGGGGCAGCGGGGAGTGGAGCAGCGGCAGCAGGGGCAGCAGAGGGCGCAACCGAGACCACAGCTGCCGGAAGAGCCGCAACAGGAGCAGCAGAAGCTGCAGGAGCAGGGGCAGGAGCAGTCGTAGGAGCACCAGGAGTTCCAGCAACAGCGGCAGGCGCAGCAGCGGCAGGCGCAGAAGCAGCAGCAGCAGCAGCAGCAGCAGCAGCAGCAGCGGTAGGAGGAGCAACGACACCACCAGCCTCTGCTGTTTTCTGCATGGCTCCAAAGACCGCGTCATACTCCTGCGATGCTGCTCTCAGCTCTGATACCACTGCCGGCTCCTCAAAGGGGCCCTCCTTGCCCTGGGAGGGGAAAAAGGTGCATGTGCGCAACAGAAGGGAGAGGGAGTGTGTGAGAATGGCTCCAAAGACAGCATCGTACTCCTGCGATGCTGCTCTCAGCTCTGATACCACTGCCGGCTCCTCAAATGCCCCCTCCTTGCCCTGGGCGGGGACAAGTGTGAGGCACGAAAAGAGACATGTAGTGGCGACAGCTGAGAGCGTGAGGACGAGGAATAGGAATGGGATTCAGCCGTTGGGTCAAGGAGACACGATAGAACTTTTGAGACGTCTCAAAAGTCGAGGAATATGAATGGGATTCAGCCGTTGGGTCAAGGAGACACGATAGAACTTTTGAGACGTCTCAAAAGTCGAGGAATAGGAATGGGATTCAGCCGTTGGGTCAAGGAGACACGATAGAACGACAGTGGCTGGTAGAATGAGTGCGGAGGGAGAACGGAGGAGGAAGAGGAAGAGGAAGAGGAAGAGGAAGGGGAATAGAAAGGGAAAATGAAGGGGAAGAGAGGGGCTGGGGGGGTGGAGGGGGGTTGTGGGAAGAGAGGGGCTGGGGGGGTTGAGGGGGTTTGAGGGAAGAGATTAGGGGCAGGTGTGATACCTGGCGCTGCTGCTTGATCCAATCTTCCACTGCCACCACGCGCACAGAGATGGTCTCGTAGCTCTGTGCACAATGCAAATAGGGGGGAGGAGGAAAGGTGTGAGTGCGCTTGCAGTAGCTTGCGTTCCTGCTTGAGGTTCTTGGTCCCACGAGGAAGGAATCATCCCACCACACCCAGCCAAACCCAGCCTCACCCCAACTAACACCCCCGTTGCTCTCCGGCGCACCTCCTTTGCGCGCTGACATGAGTCCAATCAATGCTCTTGAGGTTCTTGGTCCCACCAGGAATTATCCCACCACACCCAGCCCCACCCAGCCCCACCCAGCCCCACCCAGCCCCACCCAGCCCCACCCAGCCTCACCCCAACTAACAACCCCCTTGCTCCCCAGCGCACCTCCTTGGCGCGCTGGAACGAGTCGACGATGCTCTTGAGGTTCTTGGTCCGCCTCTCCTTCTCTGCTGCCAGCTGCCTCTGTAGCAACTGCACCACCCCAGGAGAATGGTCACAGCACAGGCCGAGACGAGAGGCAACAAGCAAGAGGCAGCCAGGAAAAAACAACAAATGGTTTAACACATTGAATCTCCATCTCGAGTCATCATATTCAGGCTCTACCTAATGCATCGTTTCACCAACCAAATATACCACTCAAACCGCCTCCACATAGCTTGGGGCTCTATCCGACTGGAGCGCTTACCTGAATCCGCGAGTTCAAAATCCCCTCCGCCACAGCCGCCTGCTGCTTCCCAGAAGCCTCCGCGGCACTCTTCCCCTCCTCCGCTTTCCTGGCCGCTGCACCCGCCGCTGCCGTCTGCTCCTGAAGCTTCTTCTCCAATTCAGCCACTCGCTTTTGGGACGTCTCAGAGGCGGTCTGGAGCTTCTTTTCGAGGTCGGCCACGCGTTTCTCGAGCTCTGCGGCCTTGGTTTTAACTGCCTCTGCCTCCTTGCTCTGCTGCTCCTTGGCCTGCCGCAGCTCCTCCTTCTCCTTGCTCAGCTGCTCGCCATTGCGCTGCCACAATGGGAAGGGACAGAGAGGTGGACAGACGGACAAACAAACAGGTCAGATGCGAAAAAGGAAGCTGATTTTTGAAGTGCTTACGAGTATGAGCTCCTTCTTCTCCTTGCTCAGCAGCTCGCCGTTGCATTGCCACGAAAAAAGAAGGGACAAACAGACACACGAACAGGCACAAACATCAGATGCTGAGAATTGAGCCTTCTGGATATTCACTCTGACCCTGCACCTACACCCTGACCGCACTCTAAACCTGCTCTAAATCAGCCCTAGAATTGCCAAGTTTTGAGAAGTCATGTCAGGGTTTAGGATGACTCGTTTCCAAACAGGCAACGCCGCCATATGAAAGCGAGTCATCCTAAATCCTGACATGACTTCTTAAAACCTGGCTCTTTCAGGATATGGAGGCTGGGAATGCGCACCTTGAATTTGATGGCTGTGTTCCTGAGCTTGGCAAACTCTGTCTTGTGCTTCGCCTGCCATGCATCCCCACCACATGCGCAGTACAAACCACACCCCACCCCACATACCGCACAACCACACCCAACACAGCATATAACCCACCCCACCCCTCACGCACATTCCACATACACATTGCACACGCACAAGCCAGAGAAAAGAAGTTGAAACGGATACATAGAAACAGAAGCGAGAAGGAAACACAGAAAAACGCTTACGAGTTTCATACCCATATCTGCATTTGACATCTCCAACCTGATGATCCGAAACTCACCTCCTCTTTCGCTGCCTCTAGCTGCTTCTTGAGCTCCTCCCCTCCTGCCGTCCACTCCTTCTCCAGCTTCTCCTTCTCCACCAGTGCCGCCCGCCCACTCCCTCTGCAACTGGCACCTCTGAGACGCCTCAAGACTCACCTCGTTTTCTTTCGCTGCCTCTAATTGTTTCCTCATCTCCTCCCCTCCTGCCGCTTGCTCCTTCTCTAGCTTCTCCTGCGCCACCCTCTTTCCTCCCCACCCACTCACCTCGTTTTCCTTTGCCGTTTCCAGCTGCTTCCTCAGCTCCTCCCCTCCTGTCGCTTGCTCCTTCTCCAGCTTCTCCTTCTCCTCCGCCAGTGCCGCCCGCTGCGTCTCCAGCCCCGCTAGCTCAGCAGCCGCCCGCTCCTTCTCAGCCTCCTTGTCCTTTTCTGCTGCGTCTGCTGCTGCCTTTGCTGCTGCGAGGGCACCCCTCGCCTCTGAGAGCTCCTGCTCCAGCTGCTCCGCTCGCTTCTGCTTGGGACAAGACCAGAAAGGAACAGTCAGTCAGTCTGTCAGTCATGAACAACACAGACGTGAACGAGGTGAAAGATCAGGAATAGTGGCTGCAACAGAAGCTCAGCTGGCGTTGACCTGGAAACCTGACAGATGCTATACTCAAAACCACATGACTCAAAACCCTAGCCCCTGAACAAACCCGTATCAGCCTCACGTCTTTAACCTGCAGCTGGTCCTGCAGCCGCTGATACTCCTCCACATCGATCGCCTTGTACTTCTCCAGCAGCTGCTGCACGCGCCGCTGCCACCGCCCCGCCTCCTCCCTCGCACTCTCCACCTCCCTCCTCCCCGCAGCCACCTCCGCCTCCCTCTTCTGCACCGCAGCCTGCAGCGGCCCCACCTGCTGCAGCGCCTGCCGCGCCTTCTCCCTCCACTCCCCCGCATCCGCAAAGTTCCTCTGGCTCTCATCCCTCAGCATCGCATTACTCTCCCTCAGCAGATTCACCTGCGCCACCTGGGCTTTCAGTGCCGCGAATTCCCCCTCAGATTGCGCAGCGGCCACCCCCCGCGCCCGCTCTTCTCTCAGCTGCTGCTGTGCTTCCTGGGCCTCCCTCTCTGCTGCTTCCACCTGCTTCGTCAGCCGCAGCCGCTCCTGCTTCAGCAGCGCTAGCTCCATCTCGGAAGCTTCCTTGGAGCGCCGCAGGAACCGCACCACCTCCTGAAGCTCCGCCAACCCTCCATCTTCCCCCACCCCCGCTCCCCCTCCCCCTCCCCCTCCCCCTTCCCCTTCCCCTTCCCCTGCTGCTACCGCCGCCGCCCCTCTTTCTCCTCCTCCCGCCTCACCTCCAGCCTCTCCTGCCCCTCCCACTGTTCCTAAACCCTTACCCGGCGACGGGGAAGCAGCCGCTCTCCTCCTCCCCACACCAGGCGAAGCAACCCCACCCGCCTTGCCAGGCGTCCCCACACGCAACGCCTCCAGCCGGTCCAGCAGAATCACGTTCTGAGCCTCCACCTCCCTTGCCTTCCCCTCTGCAGCAGCACGTGCTGCCTCCAAACCCCCCTTGACTGTCTCCCACTCGGCCCGCAGGGAAGCTAACTCGGCTTCGGCCTTTTCTGCCTGGCTGCGCCACTCCCTCTGCGCCGCCTGGGCGGCGTTGAGCGTCTGACTCACGCCGTCCAGCTGGCGGATGGTGTCTGCTTGCAGCACGACCTGGGCGCAGCAGGGGCAGGATGGGGAGGCGAGAGGAGCCGCAGAGGGAGAGAGCAGGGGGGGTTGGAGGTGGGTGGGTGGGTGGGAGGGGGAGGGGAGTGGGAAAAAAGGCAACCAGGAGGGAAGAGTAGAGATTGCGAGTGTTCTGAAAGGAATGCAGAGGCGTTTGGTGTGGACCAACGCTCATGCGACACCCACCTGCCGCTCATAGTTGGTCTGAGCCTCCCTCCACTTCTGCCTCATCTCCGATGCCTCCTTTGCCTCTGACTCCACTCTCCACTCTATCTCCTCCACTCGTGCCCTGCACAGAAGCACATGGACAGACAGTGACAGACGGCAGGGGTATTATGAGTCGACTCAAAACTCAATCTACCTGAATGCGCCCCGCTCAACAACAGCTGCCTCCAACTTCCGGCTCACATCGGTAAAGACCCTCTCATGCTCCTTCGTCAATCCCCCGTCGCTGCTGTAAGCTGTTGCTGGTTCTCAAAGCCACACCATACCCCACCTCAACCCATCACACCGCACTCCACCCACCTGAATGTGTCCCGTTCCACAGCAGCAGCCTCCAGCTTCCGGTTGACATCAGCAAACGCCCTCTCATGCTCCTCAGTCAGCCCTGTCGCCGCCGCCGCTGCTGTAAGCTGTTATTGAGAATTCTCAAAACCATCCCACCCCACCCCACTGCACTCCAACCCACTGCAGTCCACCGCACTCCACCCACCAGAATGCGACCCGCTCCATCCACAGCAGCAGCCTCCAGCTTCCAGCTGACATCAGCAAACGCCCTCTCATGCTCCTCCGTCAGCCCTGTCGCCGCAGCAGCAGCATAAGCGGCCCGCTTCTCCGCCTCCCGCACCCTCAGCTGTTTTTGTGGAACCTTCAAAACGCCCCACCACATTCCACTCCACCCCACCACACCCTATCCCATCCCATCCCATAGCACCCGACCCCACCCCACCGCACTCCACCCACCTGAAGGCGTCTCTCTCCACAGCAGCCGCCTCCAGCTTCCGGCTGACATCAGCAAACGCCCTCTCATGCTCCTCTGTGAGCCCCGTTGCAGCTGCCGCCGCATCAGCAGCCCGCTTCTCTGCCTCTTTCACCCGCCCCCTCAGCTCCTCCGCTGCTGCCGCCGCTGCCGCTCTCTCCTTCTCAGCCTCCTCCTTGAACGCACTGTGCTGCTGCATCATTCGCTCCAGCGCCTCCTCGTTCGCCTTTCCAATCGCCTTGTACTGGTAGCAGGTGGAGCAAAGGGAAATGTGGTAAAAAAGGGTGAAATGTGGGAACGTGAGAAAGACAAGACAAAAGGAAGTGGACATGCGAGCTGTGAGCGCCCACCTGAGCCAGGTACCCTTGAGATGCCTCTAGCTCCTCCTTGAGCCTCTGCACCTCCTCCTCTGCCTTGTGCAACCGCTCCTCCACATCCTCCTCCTCCATGCCCTCGCCCTCCTTCCCACCACCACCAGCAGCAGCACCACCACCACCACCAGCACCAGCACCAGCTGCACCAGCTGCCCCAGCTTCCCCAGCTGCCCCAGCAACAGCACCGTCGCCACCACCAGCAGCAGCAGCAGCAGCAGCCGCCACAGCAGCAGCGGCCGCATCTCTCACCGAAGCCGATCTCAGACTCCTCCCTCCCACACCCCCGCCCGCACCGCCAGCAACAGCAGCAGCCGCCACCGCTTCCAACCGCTTCACACCCGCCTGCAGCTCCTCGCACCGTGCCTCTGCAGTCTTGGCCTTGGTGACAGCAGCGCTCAGCTGCTGCTTAAGCTGCTCCACGTCCTTCCACGCTGCACTCAGCTTTGCCTCTGCATCCGCTGCTGCCCTGTCTCTAGCCTCCACTAGGTGCCGAGAGTGGTCCCTCTCTGCTTCCAGGGCACGACTCGCTTCCGCCCACTCGCGCTGCAAGAGGGAGGAACAAGGAATTGGCATGAGGCATAAGTGAGAGGTGTCCACCAGCTGATAAGAGCAGCGCTCAGCTTTGCCTCCGCATCCGCTGCTGCCCTGTCCCTGGCCTCCACCAGGTGTCGCGAGTGGTCCCTTTCGGCCTCCAAGGCCCTACTAGCTTCCGCCCACTTGCGCTGCAGAAAGGAGGAGCAAGGGGATCGGCATGGGTAGAGGCAGGAGAGCGGAGATGAGAGAGGGAGAGAGTTTGCCCTGTCCCGGGCCTGCACCAGCTGCTGCTTGAGTTGCTCCACGTCCTTCCACGCTGCACTCAGCTTTGCCTCTGCGTCCGCTGCTGGCCTGTCCCTAGTCTCCACCAGGTGTCGAGAGTGGTCCCTTTTGGCCCCAAGCACCCGACTCGCATGTTTGATTTGCTTTGCGCTCTTTGTGGACTCATGTGCACTCAGGGTGTTCCAGAAGCAATTCGAGTCAGTCTTGCGGGATACTCTACTCGCCTTCTTTTTAAAGTCTTCACTGACAAATTTATCATGCTGGTAGAGGAGCTGTAGCAAGATTGCTGTTGGATGCTTGCTGGAAAGACTGGGTATCCCAAATTCCAGCTACAAGGTGGGGATCTCAAGAGTGTTCCTGAGGGCAGCCAAATGACAATCCTGGACAAGAAGAAGGCAAAGTTGCTGATGGAGGCAGCGACGAGGCTCGTACCGCTGCAGCAATGAAGGAGCTGCCTCCATCGGCAACTTTGCCGTCTTCTCGTCCAAAATTGCCATCTGGCCCGCCTTCAGGAACACTCTTGACATCCCCACCTTGCAGCTGGAATTGAGAATTACCAATCTTTTCAGCAAGCACCCAACAACAATCTTGCTATCTTGACTGCACAGCTCCAGTGCCAGTACGATAAATCTGCCAAGGGAGGCTTTAAAGGGGAGGCGAGCAGGGCATCCCGCAAGACTGACTCGAATCGCCTCTATAACAACCTGAGCGCACATTCGCCCGACACAAGCTCACTTGCATGCTGTCAACGAAGTCTTCAAGCCGCTTCCTCTCATGGCCTCGCGGGCAGCCTGGGTGCTCTCCAGTGAGTCGTGAGCCGCCTGCACGCGGTGCATCCTTTCCAACCAAGTCAACCGAGTCAACCGAGCCCACCTGCATGCGGTCAATAGAGTCTTCGAGCCTCTTCCTCTCAGCAGCCCACGTGGCCTCGCGGGCAGCCTGGGTGCTCTCCAATGAGTCGTGTGCCGCTTGTACTCGGTGCATCCTCTCCAATGCGCTCCCCGCCTCCGCTGTCGCCCGCTCCTCTGCTGCTGCCAGCAGAGCCTTCTCTCGCTCCAACACCGATGCCTGGGGAAAAAAGGGCACAGAGATGCATATATGATATAGGAAAGGCGGAACAACTCTCTTCTAGCGAATCGTGTGCCGCCTGCACGTGGTCCATCCTCTCCAGCGCACTCCCCGCCTCCGCCGTCGCCCGCTCCTTTGCTGCCGCCAGCAGAGCCTTCTCTCGCTCGAACACTGATGCCTGTGACAAAAAGGGCACAGAAATTTGTGTAAGAGGAATGGAACCACAAACAATCCCCCATCCATCAGATAGGATTCTCTCCAGAAACACACAAGCACACAGGTTCTCTCACCTCAATGGTTGCACGGGTAGCCTTCTCCTCCGCGGCAGCGAGCAGCCTCTCGGCGTCCCGCAGCTGCCTCTGGTGGGCAGTCACTGACGCCGCAAACTCACTGCTGCGCGCCACTGCTGCATCCTTCACCTTGCGCTGAGGGGGAAGAAAAGGGGGGGGAAGGGGACGGGGGAGAAGAAGGGGAGGAAAAGGGGGAGGGGGGGGGGGAGAAGGGGAAGGGGTGGTGAGGGGTTTCAAGTAAGTTGCAGCAGCCAGCAGCCTCTTAAGGTCCTCTCAGCAGGGAAGAATGGCGGGATGGAGGGACGAAGCGAGGTGAGGGAGGGAAGAATAGCAGGAGGGAGGGACGAAGTGAGGTGAGGAAAACACTAAACACCGCCCTCCTCCTATAGCCATCCACCGTCCCATCACACCACACCACACCACATCGTACCTCCTCTTCCAGTGTCTTCTTGAGCGCCTCTGCCTGCTGCTTGGTGAACTGGGCCACTGCCTCCGCTCACAAGCGCTCCATGCGTGACTCACATCACCGCATCACATCACACCACATCGCACTGCACCACATCGCATCTCACCTCCTCTTCCAGTGTCTTCTCGAGCGCCTCTGCCTGCTGCTTGGAGAACTGCGCCTCTGCCTCGGCACGCATGCGCTCCATGCGCGACTCACTCGCCACCTTCCTGTCATTGCACATGCATGCATGCATGCACGCACCCACCAATGCACCCATGCAAATGCACTCACATCCATACCATGCTCACACACACATGTGTGACACGTCCATACATCCACCATATAGCACAAACATTCACACGTTGATATACACACACATGGCCCAACATGCACGTGTCACACATAAAAGAGGGTCCAGGACGTGTTGGGAAGGGAGAGCAGCTAATGGCAGGCAGGCAGGCAACGACAGCGCCTCCTCCCTAAGACAACACAACACAGCCAGTGACCGGCTTGTTCTTGCACCTATGGGGCATTATTAGGGCATCTCCTAAGCTTCCTGGCAACACTCAGTGGTGCAAGCCCCACCTGGCAGCATCAAGAGCCTCCTGCAGTTCATCCATGTGCTGCTTGCGATCCTGCCTCAGCCTCTCCAGCTCCTCCTGCTCCCGTCCACAACCAACCGGATGGTGGAACGGAGAAACGATGACATGAGGGGGGGGGGGGGGAGGAAAACACGTCACACACACATGGAGAATCAACGACTGCGATCTGGATAAAGGCATCGTGCAAGCTAAGGCAGAGTGCGAGTGAGTGATATGAACATGTGTGAGTGAGTGAGAAGAGAAATCATTCAAGGATTCACTGTACATGCAAAAAGAGTAACCTTCAATAAGAACTTTGCAGCAAACGGAATTAGGGCCTTGAGAGATGAAGGGGTGGAGAGGAGTGGAGGGGGAGAGAGAGACAAGCAGAGACAGACACGAAGACAAGGAAGAAGGGCAGAGATAAGATGGGATGCAGGGGGAAGGCTAACCTGCGCTGCTATGGAGACCGGTTTAGAATATCAATAGAAGAAGCCAACCGCAAAACAAATGTGAAGAGTGAGCAAGGTACCTGCGTTGCAGTGTAGAGAGTCTTGTAGTCGGGACCTGCCATCGAGGAGAATGGGCACATGGAGGCAGATAAAAGGGCAAGCAGGGGCTGAACGTCGGGTAGAAGTTGCTGCGCTGCGGTGAAGCACAAACAGAGGATGATGACACACCCACGCAATGCAGCAAATAGCACAAACAATGGATGGAACAGCCTCGCCTTACCAGAATCCGCTCGGACATACATACAGCAGCAGACTGACGCAGCAGTCAGTGATAATACTCCACGATAACCACTCTATGAACATCACCATAAGACCACGCCACAATGTCGCCATGCCACCGTTTCACCAGTGTGGTAACGGGACAGACTGAACAATGAGATGAGCCTATTTCCGAAAAAAATGACGTGCAATCAACGCAAAAACAGAATAATGAGGTGCATCACTATCACTCAACTCACCATCAGGTGGGGGGGAGGACAGCATGGGCAAGGCAGGCGCTCCCTTGGCTGTGGGAGAATCAGCAGCACCAGGAGCAGCAGCTGCAGTGCCTGATGTCAGGGCCCTCATTCGCTGCTGCTGCTCATCGTAGAGCAGTTTGAACATGTCGTGCTGGTGGGGTGAGGGGTGGGAGGAGGGTATCAGGGCAACAGAGAAACAGAGCACCAGGGAAAAACAAGGAAGAGAGGGTGAACAAGAGGCGATCCTTCACCCATGGCACGCTGCGTTGCTGTTGCTCGTCATACAGCAGTTTGAACATGTCGTGCTGGTGGGGTGAGGGGCGGGAGGAGGTTGGGGGGAGGGGGAAGTATGAGGTGGTGAGGGGGAAACGGAATCGAGGAAAAAAGGGCCATGAGTCAACAGGGCAACAAAAAGGAAGAGTGTGCGGCAGAGGACAACACGAAAGCAAATGACTTTTGAGGCGCCTCAAAAGGTGTGCGGCAGAGGACAACACGAAAGCAAATGACTTTTGAGGCGCCTCAAAAAGTGTGCGGCAGAGGACAACACGAAAGCAAATAACTTTTGAGGCGCCTCAAAAGGTGTGCGGCAGAGGACAACACGAAAGCAAATGCCCGAGCAGGAAAATTTTAAGGCAAGTGGCAGAGTACTCACGGCAGCCTTGTGTCGCTGTGCCAGCTCCTCCTGCTCCTTGTACATGCCCACCACCCGCTCCACCTCCTTGGCGTTCGCTGCTGCTCGCCTCTCCAGCTCCTCCTCAAAGCGAGCCTGCTCACTCAAGCAAGGAATGAGAGCGTATTTGAGACTCGCGAGGGCAAAGAGGCCTGTGGACCAGACTGCGCTGCGCTGTACTGATGGAGGCAGAACAGATTGGGAGCTGTTAACTCTATGTTATCCTGATGGGCCATAACACAGTAAACACAAGGCAAGGCAGCATTCTCTTCAAACAAAAAGCCAGCATCTTTCTGTTTATGTATGTCACACAACGACATATTTTTGAGGCACCTAAAAAATCTTTCTGTTTATGTATGTCGCACACCGGCGTACCTTGACCCGAGGCTCCAGGGTGCTGTAGTCGTCCTGCAGCTTCCGCAGGGCGTGGCGGAGCGACGTGTTGGCCTGCACCAACCCCCCGATGTCCGTGATGGTCAGCTGCAGGGGCGGGTAATGGAGGCAGGGCAGGAAGGGTATTTTGGAAGAGCCAACAAACGAACTAAAAGAGGCATTCAACTGCTGCAGCGCATGGCGGAGGTATGTGTTGGCCTGCACTGGGCCCCTGATGTCTGTGATGGCCATCTGCAGAGACGGGTAGGAGGAGCGGGGAAAGGGGGTTCGAGAGCGCTAAACACTGCTTGCAACTGGGACACTGCGCTGCTGCTGCTGAAGGATTACTTCTGACGGACCTGCTGCAGCCCATACCTCACCCCTTCCCCCCTTCCCTCCCTGCCTACCTGCTCCACCGACACAAAATCTGATGAGGAGGGCCGCGGCGGAGTGGGCGGCGCAGTGGCTTCGTTATTAGCACGCTGCATGCTCACATCCCTCAGCTCCTTGAGGAGGACCGTCACCTGGCGGGCGGAAACAAGAAAAGGAAAGAGGGAGTGTGCGAGGGAGAAAAAGTGGGAAATCGTAAACAAGCAAAGCAAGCAAGAGAAATGTGTTCGCTCCAAACGCTCGTGCAGCAAAAAACGCAGCAGCTCTGCTCTGCCACCACACCTTCACTGAAAAAACCCTTGACCCACCCAACCCCCAGTCCAACGCACCTGGCTCTGCAGGTCTGCCACATCAGTGGACAGCAGACTCACATCCCTCTCCCTTGCCCGCAGCTCCGCCTGATGCATCCATACATGATGGTTAACAACGGGGCGGCGGGGGGGGGGGGGGGGGAGGGGAGGAGAGACGTTGGGCATGTGGTGAAACGTCCCAAAGGGAATGCTGTAGAGTGGACGTCACTCCATGGCATGCGATTATGCACGCTCTGAGGACTGAACTATATTTTCAACTGTTAACTGTTAGCTGGTCCGCTGCCAGCACCAGCTTGTCCTGCATGACGTCATATGCACGGGCCATGCATGTATTATGCTGCTGCTGCTGCTGCTGCTGCTGCTGCTGCTGCTGCTGCTGCTGCTGCTGCTGCTGCTGCTGCTGCTGCTGCTGCTGCTGCTGCTGCTGCTGCTGCTGCTGCTGCTGCTGCTGCTGCTGCTGCTGCTGCTGCTGCTGCTGCTGCTGCTGCTGCTGCTGCTGCTGCTGCTGCTGCAGCTGCTGCTGCTGCACTAAACAGTGACAGAGACCAACTCACCCTGCACTCGGCAAGCGATGCCTCCACAGCAGCCTGCTGGTCCGCTGCCAGAGCCAGCTTGTCCTGCATGACATCGTATGCACGGGCCATGCGTGCATGCTGCTCACGCTCCTCCAGCACCACCGCCGCCTTCTGCTCAATCTCCCTCAACACCTGGTGTGTGCACGTGCGTGTTTGTGGGGGTTGGGGGGCCGGGTGGGAGCGAGAGAGAGCGGTTGGGAGGGTGGGAAGGTGTGCTGCTCTCGTTCCTCCAGGACCACGCACGCCTTCTGCTCTATCTCCCTCAGCACCTGGTGCGAGCACAAATGCGTGTGAGTGTATGGAAGAGAGAGTGGGTAAGAGGGTGGCTTGCAGAATCACCCCATGGTATGCAGGATATAAACGCCACCCGGCCAACCACAAGTTGGGAGGTGGAACAACCATCATCCACTTATCGCTCTTGTTCCCACGATTACTCTCCATCTCTCACCCTGTTGAGCAGAGTCTCTGCCTGCCGTCGCTGTTGCCTCTCATGCCGCCATGCATCTGCCGCCTCCTCGTACTTCTCATACATCGTTGCCATCTGCACATGGGCGGGCGTGCATGGGGGAGACAGTAGTGAGGTGAGAGAGCTGGACTTCACATGATGCCGCCTCCTCGTACTTCTCATACATCGTTGCCAGCTGCACACACGCGTGTACGCATGGAAAGAACATGACGAAGAAACTTTTAGATAAACAATATGGCTCCTCATACTTCTCGTACATCGTTGCCAGATGCACACGGGCGTGCACAGCAAGAAAATGACTCAGGGACAAATTGAGAGACAAATACCGATGGAACCAAGGGAACGCAATGCAACACAAATCAAATGCACACAGCAACACAAGAGTTTCAAGACTGCAGCGTCTAGTGTCACCCACCGTCCAGCCATCCTTGACGAGATAGGAAGCGAGAGCCACTCCTGTGACGCCCTGTGGCAGGGCTGGGGGCACACTGCCCCCCCCATGGAGCACCGCTGCCAGCTGCCTGTCCCTGCATGCATGTGAAGGAACGACGAGGAGAGGGAGAAGGGGAGGGCACGGGAGAAAGGGGGGAAGAAGACGAGTGAGTGGGAGGTGGAAACAAAAGATGTGAACAAGGGAACGAAAACGATATACAAGGGGGATTTTTTACATTCTGCAACCTGATGAAACGACTTACAAGGGCTGGATGGGGCCGGAGGCGGCAGGGAGGGCAGCAGGCACAAGGTCCAAGCCACCAGCGCCAGCAGCAGCAGCAGCTGCACTAATACCAGCAGCAGCCTAGAATTTTGCCTTTCTGCAACCTAGTGATAGTACTCACAGGGGCTGAACGGGGCCGGCGGTGGCAGCAGCAGGCACAAGGTCCAATCCACCAGCACCAGCAGCTTCTGCGGCAGCAGCTGCCTCAGTGGCAGCAGCAGCCTTCTTGTTGGCCTCGTCAAGGCTCTTCTGTAGCTCCTCACAGCGCCTCTGCAGCTCCTGCTGCTGCTTCCCTGCCGCCTCTTCAACTGCCTTGACCCGATTCTCGCCCTCCTCCTCCACTTGCTTCAGATGATCCTGAGTAAGGCACCAAGAAAAACCAGAAAGAGAGGCATCCGGGAACCAGTAAGAGAGACACACGGATGGCTGACGGAACCAGGCAGAAGCAGGAAGACGGAGAGGCACAGGCACGGATGAAGCAGACAAACGAGGAAGCCATGGCATGCAGGTGCGTTCATCAACCTGACTCTCCCAAATAGACACAACATGGGCAGAGCGGATGCATACAAGTGCGAAATTAGGATCAATCAATGAGTGCACATGTGCCGCTGACTTGACTGACGCCCTTGAATTCTGCTGCCCTTTCACTCGCCAGCAAGTATGAGTGGGAGTGCGACTGACTGACCTCGAGAGACTTCACGACGCCCTTAAGATCCGCAGCCCTTTCACCTGCCTCCGCTGCACTCTCCTTATACAGTTCCACCAGCTTCTTCGCCTGGCGTGTGGTGGGGGAGGCGGGAGCAGCATGCCAAAATGAACCCGTGTAAATGCTGGAAACGGGGAAGAACGCAAAACATACTGCAGGCAGAAACCAAATGAAGCGCTGCTAACTGACAACAAATCGTTTCCAAAAAAGAGTGCACGATTGCGTTTCACTGCACATTCGACAACAGCACTCACAGTTTCCAATTCGGCCGCCAGCTGGCTCTCGTGCAGCGCCTCTTCCTCTGCGCGCTTCTTCACCTCCTGCAGACAAACACGTCATGGGTTGCGTGGAGAACGACCAGGGGCCAAGAGAGCATACCACGCACTCGTTATGCCAGCAAACAATCAGCAACTATCACTCAGAAGCAGCCATCAACGCAATTCATTACGTTTCAATCTGAACTCTCTCTGGCAGTCAGTGGACCCACCTGTTGCAGCTGCGCGACCATCCCCTGCAGCTCCGCCACGCGCGCCTGGGCGCGCGCCTCAGCAGCGCGCAGATCGTCGCGCTCGTGTTCCGCGCCCAGCAGCTGGCTGCGCAGCTCTGCCTCGCCCTCCGCGCGAGCGCGCCTCTCCTCCTGCAGCGCGCCCGCCTTCCCCGCCACGTCCTCGCGCAGCCACGCCAGGTGCTCCTCCAGAATCTCCTTCTCCTGCGCTCACAGGGGGAAAACGAGGAGAAAAAACGACCATGAGCACAAGAACCTTCGAAACGTCCCCAAAGCAGCCAGCCACGCCAGGTGCTCCTCCAGAATCTCCTTCTCCTGCGCTCACAGGGGGGAAACGAGGTGAGTAACCGAGAAGCCATGAGGGCAGCAACCTAGGATGACCACACCCGTGGAAAGACGCTGGAGGAGCTGGGGGACGAAAATTGGATGAGAATGTGATGATGTTGTGAATAGCATTGCTGCTGGATGAGAAACACGCGCATGTGGAGTGGAAGAATTGGATTCGATGTGCGCACCTGCACATGGCGGTTCACTGCGGCCTTGAAGCGGGACGCCTCTGCCTCAGCCGTCCTCAGCCGACCCTCCAGCTCCGTCCGCGAATCAGTCAGGGAGACCTGGCGTGTGACAATATCGAGCAGAATGGCATCCAAAAGATTCAGTACTCGAAACGCGCCAGAAATATTTAATTTCGCACGAAGCGCCATCAGAGTTGGTTGGATGCAGCCGTAGGTCCTGATTACCGCTTTAATCAGGAAAACCGACTCACGATCTTGTCCAGGTACGATTTGAGCGACGCGTTCTTCTCGTCAATCTCGAGGTTCTTCCGCTCGATCACGTCCACCAGGTCCCGCCGGCTCGTCTGCGCCTCCGCCAGCTCCGCTTTCAGCCGCTCCCTCTCGCCATCCCCCTGAATCTGCAAAATTGAATAATACTAAAAAAACCTTAAAGGCCGGAAAGTCCATAGAAGACAGCCGAAATTTTGGGGTAATAAATTTACGCGCGATTCGTGATTACGGGGACAATGGACGGGCTTGGAATGATTTCACAAAAGCGAGAAGTCGAGGAGACGTACCCCCTCCAACTGCAGGCGATGAACCTGCGCCTTAATTTCCGCGAGCTCGGCGGATTTCTGATCGAGATCCGCGGTGAGATATCCCTTCTCGCGTTCGAGCTGCGCGTTTTCGTCCGTCACCGCGAGGTACTTCTGCTCGATCAGCGAGCACGTCTGCTCCGCGTTGATTTCCGCTGCATCCGCTTGCGCTTTGTGCGTCTCTAGCTGCCGGAGGAGCGAGCCTATTTGCTCCTCCGCCTTCCGCGCAACGGCCCTGACATCGCCCTCCAACGCCTGCAGCTCCTCTTCAGAGAGGAAGAGAGGCATCGTGGGAAGCAACCAGGAAGATTCCCCGTGGAAATGCAATCTCAGGCTGAGAAAAATGTTAGTATATTAGAGATTTTCGTCCCGTGAGATTTGGGTGACTTCCTAGGTGCACCTAGGAATAGCGACATCTACGCGGAGCCATGACGGGTAGTAGTGAAATAGGAGGTAAGAAAATGAAAGCTAGTGAAGAATTCTCTGGTACTACAGAAAAGGGTTTGAAAACAGGCGTTCCCGCCGATTGTGACTACTACGAGGGAGATTTCCGCTCTGACTGGATTCGTGCTGACACTTTCTTCCGACTGCCAGCAAAACACCACATGCAAAAAATCCAGTTTGTGTCTCACTGTGCGCTGTACACTAGCCTTTATTGTGCTGCTCAATGGAGGGATTGATCTGCGACGATGCGCTGCGCGACCTCTCGCTCCGTGAAGCGACAATCCCGAGGCGAGGCGACCCCACCCCAACCACCAGCGCTCACTCACTCTCCGTCCCTCGCTCACCCCTGCAACACAACTGGCGAGGCAACACCCATAGGAGTTTCCATACAATACCAAGCCCACCCGACACCTCGGGAATGAAAAACCCAACGGCTACTTGCCTCGCTTATCTCCGAAACTGAACCCCAAGGCACAAAAGTTGAGTCGTCGTTCCCAGACGACTTCACTTCAACCTTGGACTGCTGTAGTAAGTGGTTGAAGCTACACGTAGCCACTTCGGTTGTAGAGTGAAGTTGGCTCATGCACATCCGAGGCGCGATTGACTTTGATGATAAAGCGGGTCATGCAAGCCACTAGGCCGTCATGGCCGCAAGATGCTGACTCACTGACGCTCCAAGGTGTCATACAGCTGTCAGCGTTGAGCAATTTTCGCGAGGGATAGCATCTGTACTGCGTACGGGGCTTGGATAACGCCATTGTTTTCTTCTTCAATGGCTCTCTCTGGCCCATCCCTTTCAAGTACAAAATTGAGTAGAAGAACCCAAATAGTGCAGCATATAGGCAGCATAGGCTCCCCCTCGTGCCAATCAAGCCTTCACGACTCCCCGCTTTCCTCGATAAAAGCCGTTACCGGTCAGCACCAGCGCGGAATTGTCACGCCAACACACAAATCATGCACGCGGTTGCGACCTTCGGGCTTCGACCCCTTTAGTCGCGTTTCTCATCGCAGAAGCCTTGGGAACTCCACGAGCACTCTCAGGAACACCGGAATTTTCCAATGCCACGTCAGCACAGAGAGTTTTCGATCGGTCAAGCAAGCCTCTTCCTCCAACCAGGCTGGCGAGTCACCTGAATTATCTGGCAACACGTTAGAAGCGGAGCAGCATTCTACTTATGCTGATCTGCTCTTAGTAAATGCTTCTCAAACGCCTCTAGTTCAGGCTGCTGAAGAGCCGTACGTGTTGCTATATGTCACTTCCACCACAGCTGTGGGAGTGACAACACCTGAGAAGCAAGAAGAAAAGGAAGACACAAAGGAAGACGCAGGAAAGGAAGCAGAGAAGGACAATGTACCGCGGTCGATCACGGAATTGGTGCCGCTGTTGATGGAGAGGGCTGCCGAAGCCTTCACCAAGGTGGTTACGTCTCGAGCAGGCGGTTTGATCGTCCTCAACGTTGTCACCATGCTCTATGGTACGTGCTGCCTGCAGTGAGGCGCCTCAAAAATCGCCTCACTTCACCAGGGTGGTACCACATGAGCAGGCGGTTTGATTGTCCTCAACGTCGTCACCATGCTCTACGGTACGTACGGTCTGCCACTGGCAGTGACATTGCCGGTTATGCGACCATGCACGAATGCTGCTATCCCTTGCGTCCTCCATTCTTGCAACGCAACGGCATTCGGGGCTCTAATCGGCTGAGAGCATGCTCCTCCCATGTCTCTTTCCCTTCTCCCACGCCCTCCCACGCCCTCCAACGCAGCTACCAACACCACCATCGTCAAGGGAGCAGAGGAAGCCGCAGGAGGGCCGCTGCAGTTCTGTCTGGGTCGCTTCGCCATCGCGGCACTCGCGCTCTCTCCGCTGCTTCCCGCCGCCCTAGCCAACCCTGCCGTCCGCCGCTGCGGCATTGAGATGGGCCTCTGGACGGCTCTGGCGTACCTCTCCCAGGCCTTCGCTCTCATCACCACTGGCGCTGGCCGCGTTTCCTTCATCAGCACCTTCACGGTACTCCCTTTCATCACCTTACTTTCTTCGTCAAACCTCTCACGGCCTGTCTATGTGGGCCTTAAATCCCACATTTACTAATCTCCTTGCCTTGATGCGTGCCCACGTACCGCACCCCCTGTCTGTTGTCTGTTGTCTGTTATATGGCCTGTTACCTGACCTGCGGGGCAGATGATAGAGGTGCCGCTGGTGGCGGGGCTGCTGGGGGCGCGCATCCCTCCCCTCGTGTGGGCTGCCACTGCCTCCGCCGTTGCTGGCGTTCTCCTCCTCGAAGCCAACTCTGAGGCCTCCACGCTGGTGCGTTCCATCCAGTGCTTCTCTGATCCTTGGAGAGAATCAGACGCATGCATGCTGGCGTTCTCCTCCTCGAAGCCAACTCAGAAGCTTCCACGCTCGTGAGTCCACTTGTGCTTCTCTGATCCTTGGAGAGAATCAGAAGCATGCATGCTGGTGTCCCCCTCCTCGAAGCCAACTCAGAAGTCACGCTGGTGCGTTCCAGTGCTTCTCTCAACCTAGCGAGCACATGGTTCGGTTCTCACATACATTCCCCCCTGCCGTGCCATGCACCTCTCTTCTCAGGTTGGCGACGGCCTGGCTCTACTGAGCGCCATGGCGTTCGGACTACAAATCATACGGTCGAATCAGTTTGCCAAGCAAGTGCCGCCCTCTGCAACGCTCGACCTCATCTCAATGCAGGTAGGATGAGGGGCGGATGAAGGGGAAATGGAGGACGGGGTGGTTGGTGTGAGGGTGATGATGAGAGGGAAAGAACTTTGTACGTGAGCATATTCTGTTCCCACTCACATACTCTCTCATACACCCTGCTCGCTCCCCTCACTCGCTTACTGTGGTCTTGGGAACTTTGGTATGAGCTTCTGTGAAAAATGTTACCTCCAGTCTCCACACCCCTGTCTCTGTGTCTCCTACCATGGCAGATATTCACTGTGGCATGTTGTGCTGCTGTAGGCGTGGCCATCACCAGCGCCACAGGCCTTCAATCTGCCAGCATAACAGTAGCAGAAGCAACAACAACAGCAGCGGCAGCAGCAGGGGCGGTCACAGCACCAGTTGGTGTCTTCCCATCACCTGACGAGCTGACAAGATTAGTCACACAAGCAAGCACATGGCCCTGGTTGCAAATGGCCTACACTGGCATTGTCTCCACAGCACTTTGCCTCTGGCTCGAGGTAAGCATTTTGGGACGTCTCTGAGTTGCCGCTGATCCACCTGAGTTTGAGGTTTTTGTAGCTAAAGTTCTCTGCATTCTGTTGTTTCTGTTCAGATTTTGGCTTTCCGGCATGTTGCGGCATCTGATGCGGCGGTGATCTACACTCTCGACCCGCTCTATTCTGCCGTTCTGGCTACAATTGTTCTGCATGAAGAGTGGACCACTCTAAGCTACATTGGAGCAGCAATGATTTTCGGTAAGGGGTCGAAAATATTTATCAATATTAACCATGGTAAATCTGGCTTATTGGCCACCATGCCACAATTTCCACCTCCTTTCATCAAGCCTTGTTCTTTTTGTTGCTCTTTCAGGGGGGAGCGTTGTTGTCCAGCTTGGGAATGCAAACAATGATGCTGAAACAAACCAGTAGAGGAAAATACATTTTTGTTCTATTTATTGCATCTCATTTATCTATTTGTCATGCAATGGCAGTATCTATTTAGTCAAGCCAAAATGACTGCACAGCCTAACTAATGAGTCATCCGGTTCTGTCCCTACTGAGTCATTTTGTAGCGGTTCTCCCCGTGTTGATCCGTGATAGGCGCATTTATTCCACAGCACCGCAATCCCGCACTTACCGCAGCCGCGCACGCTCCATAACCAAATTAGCCTCGCCGCAATCGTCGCCAGCTATGCACTCCGTCGCTCAACACTGCTTCGCTGCGCACCGCCAGCTGACGCGCCTGTTCCCTCCATCCGCATCTTTCTCCGCGAATGTTCACCGCGCAACCGCAATTGCGCCAGTGAGGTGTCCAGCGGGGTTCCAGCGGAATGAGGCAAGGGGTTTCCGCGGACAAAATTCGCCGGCAGTGATTGCGCGGGGCGGGGTGCGCTGCCAGAGCTCGTCCGCACAAGCTTCCGCGAAGGAGGAACCGAATGTGAAGGACCTTGCGCTGAAGGCGCGGCTGGCGCTGTCGGCGGAAGAGGTGCAGAGGGGGGAGAGAGGGGTGGGGGGAGGGGACTGGCAAAGGGTTGGCGGAAAATTCTGAGGGGAGGAGTTGGGGGTGCTAAGACCTGATGAGGCTGTCGGGGCTTGAGTGATGACTGAAGTGCATTCTGACTGTGCGTTCTGACTGTGCGTTCTGACACCAAGTGTGATTTGCTTTTGTGCGCGCAGGAGGAGGAGTTTGGCAAGTCTATCTCACGCATAGTAGACTGGTAAGAAAGACAAGTACTTTGCTTCCCCTCGCTTACGCATCTTTCTGCCCTATGCATTCACACTCACTCAAGTATCCTGCATGTGGTTTTCCTCACTCACATATACCCTCTTCACTCACATATCTCTCCCTCACTCACATATCCCCTCCTCACTGACACACTCTCCTCACTCACAGTTCCTCCTCTCCCCCCCTTCACTCCCAGGTTCGGGCAGCTACAGCAGGTGGACCTTTCAGATGTGCCAGCAGCCATCCGCGTCGGTAAGGCTCGGCCTTTGAGGCACTTCAGAACTTTTTTTCCGATATGCCTGCTACCCACCCTAACTTCTTGATGATCCCTAACTTCTGACCCCTGACCTCTGACCCCTAACCCCTCTCAGCTCACACCCCACCCTTGATCCCTGTACCTTTATTAGCTGCTTACCAGCACCCTACTTTCCCCCACATCACGTCCCTCCCTGTTCATTCTGCTTCGGCACAACAAATGCCATGGTCAATGCCAGGAGGGGAGGAGCTGCGGCCAGATAACATGCGAGAGGACGTCCCTGTTGTCTTCGAAAACAGGTGAGACACATCCCAGCAATGAGGGGCCGGAACACTACCAGAAGCTGCTACAAGCAGTTCTGCTCCCTGCAGCTTGCTGGAAACTTTACCTGTGGATACGGTCGCGACTTGCCAGGTTGTTACAAACCAAGTCTTGTTCCTCGTATCTGTACACGATCATGGCTCTGTGGGCTGCAGGGAGGAAATGCTGAGCCAAGTACCCAAGACGGATGGGCCATTCCTGAAAGTACCCAACGTTCTGCCCAGCAATTGATGTCAAGCATTCGTGCATAATGGTTGGCTGGGTTGGTCAGTTACTGTGGCAAGGCAGCAGGAGATGCAGCCATGCCTTGGCCGACAGCAAAAAAAACTTGCTTGTCAGGGGGTCTGGACAATGCAGCTACACTGCATTGGACGTGTTGAGTAGGTACACTACCAGAAGCTGCTACAAGCATGTCTTTTTCTTACTTCCTGCAGCTTGCTGGGAACTTTACCTGTGGAAGATTACCAGGTTGTTACAAACCCTGCAGCACCTTGCCATGGACACTGTCTATCCTGCTTGGGTGCTTCTGTTTGTGCCCAGGCACCTTCCAGGCTGCCCATCCCACCCACCTATACCACAACATGCAGACCCATCCCACCTACAACAGCATAGCGCAACATATCTAAGCAAGCACACTTAAGCATAATCAAGCAGAGCATAGCCCAAGGACAGAGGCAGCCAGAGGCCCATCTTGAGCTCGTATCAACGCCAGTGGGGATCAGCCACTATGCGGCACCCCACATGTACTCGTCCTCACTACGCATGCCTTCTATCTCGCCTCCATATCACCACAGCAGAGCCACTTCGAACTGCAAACGGGACAGCTATGGGGCATCGAAGAGAGAGGAGGGACAAGGCATTTGTAAGGAATGACAGAAAAAAAAAAAATCATAATATCGTGTATTTCCTGTTTGAATCAGGCAAAAGCAGAAAGTGCATAATAGAAAGTGTACTCGGTTCACAGCAGATCGCCATTGTGGAGCAAGCACGGTCATTGACAAATGTACGTTAGCAAAGCCAGCAGAAACTCCCATCTCACCTACCATGAACAATACGCAGCACTCTGTTGCTGCCATTGCTTCCCCCACAGCTGTTGCCCGAGACACGGAGAGAGCAATGGGACATGGAGAGGGGAGTGAGGCGAGGGCAGAAAACAATTGGGTACAGAAAGACAAGAGAACGGGTCGCGTAAGGACAAGGATGAAGAATGTCAGGCGGGTAAGACCTTAGAGCCTTGACAAGAATGCAGGCGACACTGAACAACCAACACAATTCGGTTGCTATCGGGTAAGCAGTACTCACTCTTTGATTGGTGCTGCAGCCACCACTGCAGCTGCAATCAATGTTGCAACTCAAGCTGCCACCACTGGCACCGCTGGCGCTACTGCTGGCCTTGCTGCTGGTTCCGGACAAGAGGTGCAGCACTTAGCTGCTGCTCACTCCTCCACTGTGGCCGCGGCAACCACTGCTGCTCGCACCAGTGCTGCTACTGCTGCCACGCGGCTGCACATGGTGCAGGGTCTATATAAAAGGTGCTGCTCTCCTGCTCTCCTGCACGAGCACAGAGAAGAGGAGGGGGGAGAAAACGAGGGGTTGGGGAACTGAGATACATGAGCATCTGGCAACACAGCAGCAGAGACACATGGGCATCGTGGAAAGAAAGTCGGCAAGACAGAACGGCACGCAGAAAGCAGGAAACATGTGAAAGGAGAAGAGGTATACTGCTTGATCTGATCCACTCACAACTCACTGTGTGCTTGCCATCGTCCCGCAGTTGTTGCAGCCACTCCTGACCCCGGCCACTGGCGTCCACTCGCTGCCACTTCCCCCCATTTCACAGGCCGTAAGGCACACACACGCATGGGGAGGGAGACAGCCAGCCACACAAAAGCGACACAACCAGGGAGGGTTAGAAGCATCAGGAGGCGAGTGGTGGAGGCAAGGGCAAACGACACGACTCTTGCCTCTGCGCGGCGACACCCTACGACTCACTTCACAGCCCCCCTGCAAGCAACCCCTGGAACGTACC